TGGCATCTGCAAATCAGACCCCCGGCCCCTGGGAGCCAGGCACGCGGTTAACGCTTGAAACCGAAGGGCTGAAAACTCCCGACGCCCGCGCGAGCCTCGGAAAACCAGACTCTTGCAGGCTTCACCCCCGGCACCGCTGCCCTCGCCGCGGCCCCAGAGGGACGAGCAGCGTCGGTGGGTTTCAGTGGGAGAACGTTCCCTGGCATCTGCAAATCAGACCCCCGGCCCCTGGGAGCCAGGCACGCGGTTAACGCTTGAAACCGAAGGGCTGAAAACTCCCGACGCCCGCGCGAGCCTCGGAAAACCAGACTCTTGCAGGCTTCACCCCCGGCACCGCTGCCCTCGCCGCGGCCCCAGAGGGACGAGCAGCGTCGGTGGGTTTCAGTGGGAGAACGTTCCCCCGCCAGGGAGAGAAGTCTCGGCCTGCAGAGTCCCGGAGGTGGGGACCAGTGTGCAGGCCTCCAGAGTCAGCATTAGCCCAGGGGAAAGACAATTGGCCCCGAGTGGTCCATCAGCTGCTGGCACATTATTACATTCCTGTCCATCAAAGAGACAGACAGCGCCGACTGTACATCATTCATCGCTAGGAGACACAGGCGGAGGGGCACAGCATGCTGTCAGACAGCAAGCGTCTCTCTGCCGACAAAAACAACTTGTCATTTTTCAGGATTTATTACGGACAAAATAGCCTGGATTTGCCATCGTATTTACCCAGCACAAAAATTCCCCTCCCTCCCCCCCAATAACAACCTTCTCTGCACTTGCTGAGTGTGAAAGACTGCGTGTTCCTAACGGCCCCCCCACGGCTGTGCTTCTACTTCGATTTCAACTTTGCCATCGGCAGAGCTACCCCCTTTGCAGTCTGGCGGTGGTGTTGCTGCGAGCTGTGCGGCGGGCCTGCCTCTCCGTCCTGTAATGAGACACCAGGCGAGAGTGGAGCACAGCCTCCCCCCACGGGAAACCGCCCCTCCTCGCCAACGGGGCTCCAGCCGATACTCAGCATGCAGCTGGACAGCCACGGTGACATGTGGGGCAATGTGGGGGCCCACGTTCATGGGGCCGCACGCAGCTGTGTAGTTTGTGTATCATAAGAACAACAGAACAGCCAGACTGGGTGTGACAGACCGGGCCGGGTCTGGGCACCGCTGAGGGCGTCCGCTCAGGGCGAATTGCTCAAATCAGGGGCTCCTTACAGCCCCCAGACTCACGTGGCCCCCTTTGTGCCACTTTTGGGGCCAACACCCCCCCCCTCCCCTCACAATGTGACACCCCCAACGCAACATTGATGCAGGAAGTGATGCCAGTAACATCACTGAGGGCATCACAGGCCTCCCCAAGCTTTGGCTCTGGGTCATCACATGTTCTACCCAATGGCAGAAACAACAATACAGAGCTGGATGAGAGTATGAGAACCCAGTGTGCCTGAAATAGGCTTCATTATTGCAAGGTCTGTCCTAGTGACAACCACGTCCTTGCATTGTCTCACCAACCCACGGTAGAACTTGGTAAGAACCCCAGCTGCTTGGATCTGCTTTTGCAACATGATCCCTAAGTGTGTCAGGTGATTTTGCCCCAAGCTGAAGAAATTTGGGTATGTCTACACTACCCCCCTAGTTCGAACTAGCGGGGTAATGTATGCATACCGAACTTGCTAATGAAGCCCGGGATTTGAATTTCCCGGGCTTCATTAGCATAAAGCCGTCACCGCCATTTTTAAAAGCCGGCTAGTACGAACCCCGTGCCGCGCGGCTACACGCAGCACAGGCTAGGTCCTGAAACCTCTGGCCAGACCCAGACAAAGGGCTGGCTGGGCGTGACTCCCTGGCTCACAATGGCCCTGGAATTTTCCCCCTTCCCCCACTCAGTGGGGTAACAGCAGTGAGCTGTAGACTCCCAAGTCTCTCCTCTGTCCACCTCCAACCTCTGTTTCCACATGGAACCAGATATCAACTTCCCTGATTGAGTATGAGTGTCCACCGTGTCCAGAGATGGGAGCGTAACTGCCATCTCCTGCATCCTAGGGAGAGTGACCACACAGCTGTTCTGCTCTGCATACTTAGCTACCCAGCCCTTCTCCTGAATCTGAGACACTAACTTCCCACTCTCCTCCTTCACCTGGGA